AAGATTCTCGAGTATTGCGTTCCAGCCATCATCGTATTAAATTTCCTTTACTGCTTAGATTCTTGAAGAACAAAATGTCATTTGTATGTAAAAACAACATTCTGTTTTTTCTTTTTTTAAGTACAATTTGCTTTTCCTACTTTATACATATTTTACATACATATATACAATTTACAGAATAAATGAATATAATCACTTGGAGCATGTCCTTGGGCATAACCAGACATAAAAGGGTGGGCTGCCTTAAATAAGGCATTTCTAACCTAATTGTGAAGTTAGGACACAAAGTTTTACATTTTACAAATTTGGGGTTTAAATATAAATGTTGAAATATCTTTTAAGTTTTTAGAACGTTTATTTTAGATGACTTAAATGAAGCCCAAAAGTTTGGCATATAAATAAAATTAGTCTGCACCTTAAGTCATTTAAATGTGACTTTAAATGTAAATGTAAATATAAAATAAGAAAACGAAGCGACTTTGAGTAACCTAAATATTTATAACCTTGCATAGAAAATCCTTCATAACTCAGTCAAAAAGGCATTAATTTTCAATCGGAAAGCGTTCCTATGTTAGTTTTTAATAGGTTAACAAATCTGCGTACTCAATTTAAAATTAAAAATTTTTCAAATTTTTGACAATTTTAACGATGTAACCCCTTTCATTTTTTTGACAAAAAAAAATTAAAAATTTTTTTCTGTCAGAGATGGCTAGAAAGATTCGTCTGTTGATGATGATCAAGAATATATATGATTTATAGGGTCGGAAATGACTCCTCCACTGCGTTTAAAATTTTTAACTGCAATTATAATAGCCTGAAAGAGTATAAAAAGAAGGAAAACTGCAAAACATATAATAACATTTCACGGAATCCATAATTAATTAAAAATTTTTATTTTTTATTTTATTATATTTTTAATGGTCTTTGCTATATGTAAATATTTTTGGGGCAACAACACCAATATTAAAGGACCTAATAATATTGCCTTTTCAGTTTCGGTTTCCTTTTCACAAATTCTTATTTCAAGTTGGTAGCTATTTGTGAAATTACTTTTAAATTTATAAGGACAATATACTAAATATATATTTTAAATTTTCCTTTGTTTTTGTGTTTATTTTTACCAGCTTACATGAAATATTTATGTTGAATGTTGTTTCTTAAAATGGCTGATGCAATGGTCTAACCAGTAACCGTTTTTTAACCGCCTTCGCTGTTCTTTTTGCTGTGTCACATCTACCCACATTAAAGCGGAAGCATTTACATAAAAATCCCCCTTAATATTTAACATATAATATAGCGTAATCTTTCTGTCATTTATAGGCAACACACCATGTCAAAATTGTCGCGGGCCATTAAATTTATATTTGCCATTTGGCTGACGGCCTTCCTGCTGGCACTGCCCCAGGCTGTGCAATTTTCGGTGGTCTATCAAAACGGCGGATACTCCTGCACGGTGGGTGGACGAATGGCAAAATGGAGGCTGTGGAAGCACTCATCATTTAATATTGTCCTTTATCGTCTGCAGATGGAGAACGACTTTTATGCCCACGTGTTCGCCGTCTCTGGATTCATATTCTTTGGTGGACCCATGACGGCTATCTGCGTGCTCTATGTCCTGATCGGTGTGAAGCTGAAGAGGAGCAGGTTACTCCAATCCCTGCCGAGGAGGACATACGATGCCAACCGCGGACTCAATGCCCAGGGACGTGTCATCAGAATGTTGGGTAGGTGAGTTGCGTTGTGTTGGCGACTTGATTGATTAAAGGCAGCAAGCCAAGATCCCGCCCCGTCGCGTGTCACAAACTTTTCCGCCGAAAGTCTTAAATTGAAAATTACTGTCAGCATATTTGCGTTGGCGACATCAAACACGAGATTCGTCATGGCTACAACCCCGTTTCCCTTCGTAATTTCCATTTGCACTTGCGTCATGTATGTAGGTCTTCCCCTAAATTTTTTTTTTTTTTTGTATCCCCTCCACGGTGTCGTTAATTTTTTGCAAGCATCAAATCCGAGTGTGTGCCTAGAGCCCTTAAATGTCCAACTGGTGAATGAGGCAAAAGGTGAAGCCACCTGACACCTCAAAGTAATCAAGGGCACCAAGGATTGGGGGAGTGGCAATGGGGCAAAGGTGGAGTGTGGCTGGCACTCCAATAATTGGCAAGACGATGCGTAGGAAGTTTCTATTAAATACACTGAGAAAAGTATGTGATTGCAGTCCACTATTAAGTTAAAGTAAATTTCTGTTTTCAAAAGTTTACATATCTTTCCTGCTATAATATCAAGTTCGTGAACTTTAAATTAAACTCCAATTAATCATGCTCCATGGTACAACTATTTAGTATAAAAGTTATATATTTCTAGTTCCTATAAGAATTTATACATAAACTCTGAGTAATCTTTTTTGGTAGGTATTATTATTATTTAAGAGAAAACAAAACCTTTTTCCAGTGCCCAACTATAAAACATAAGAAAATTCAGAGGGAATATTTTTCATTACAGGTTAGTTTACAACCTGCAATTTGAAGTTTACTTTCTAGGAAAAACCACAGCCTTAAGCTATAGTGTGCCACTTGTTCTGCTGAACAAAACACAAAACGAGGCCAAAGACCCAACTCAGAGTCAACTTAAAGCAATTCATCATAAATTAAATGGAAGCATAAAAAGATAGAATGTAAAGGCAGTAAACAAGTTTTGAAAGCGAATAAATTGGCTCATAGTGAAGAATTCCAAAACTTGTGAAGAGCGCTTGTAAAGAGAGCCAAAATTATCCTTTTACTAATTTTAAGACCCATCAAGTATTGTAGTATTTTTTCAAGCGTACTTAATGCGTCCCTTATCCTTGCCCCTATTTGCAGTAGCTGTAGCCGTCGCCTTTTTCCTCTGCTGGGCTCCCTTCCATGCCCAGCGACTGATGGCTGTGTATGGCCTTTCGCTGATTAATATAGGCATCAGCCGGGATGCCTTTAACGATTACTTCCGGATACTGGACTACACCTCCGGTGTGCTCTACTTCCTCTCCACGTGTATCAATCCGCTGCTGTACAACATCATGAGCCACAAGTTCCGAGAGGCTTTTAAGGTAAGTCTGGAATGAATATGAAATAGAACAAGAAAGGATACTAGCTTAGGGAAGTCGCAAATAATATACTCTTGCAGCTTACAATTGAATTATAAGATTGAGTTTGAATTGATACTTATCTATGAAAGCGTTGCTATGCTAGTTTTGTTAGGCTAATAAATCTGCATACTCAATTTAAAATGTTTTTTTGCCGGAGAAAGCCAGAAAGATTTGCCTGTTGATATGATTTATGGGGTCGGAAATGATTCTTTCACTGCGTTTCAAGCTTCTGACTAATATTATAATACCCTGCAAAAGTACAAAAACTTAAGCCCTTACAGTATCATAAATATTTATTTATTGTAATCCCTAAACCTTTCTATACCTATTCCTTCACAGATCACCCTAACTAGGCAGTTTGGTTTGGCCAGGAACCACCATCACCAGCAGAGCCAGCACCACCAGCACAACTACAGTGCTCTGCTCCGGCAGAATGGTTCGATGCGTCTACAGCCGGCTAGTTGCAGCGTGAACAACAATGCCCTGGAACCCTACGGATCCTATCGAGTGGTGCAGTTCCGCTGCCGGGATGCGAGCCACCAGTTGTCCTTGCAGGATAGCATCCGCACCACCACCACGACGACAACGATCAACAGCACTGGTCTGGGAGCTGGCAATGGAGTTGGTGGAGGAAGGCGACTTCGGAAACAGGAGTTCTTTGGCCCGGGACCGGGATCGGCAGTGCCCCACCGCATGTTGCAGGCTCAGGTGTCGCAGCTGTCCTCGGTGGGTGATGCCAACTCCCTGCTGGAGGCCGAGGTGGTGGATAGGCACTATGCCTCCGGCAGAGCTAAGCGGGCCCTGCTAGCCACCAAAAGTGGGGCTCTCCTGGTGACACCTTCACCGCAAATTGCTGACCCATCAGAGTTAGATCCGCCAGCCACTCGTCTGAAGCTATCGAGGGTCATAAGTCGCCGGGATGAGGCTACAGGAACAACAATGCCTGCTCCATTTTGTGGTAGTCACAGTCTGCCGGATCCGGAGACCAATCAATCTGGCTCCGTGGCGGGTCGCAGTTCCCGCAAGTTTCCATGGCGCAAGAGGAGACAGAAAACTGAGGACTCTGCCGGCGAGGGAATGGCCTATGGTTCACCTAAATCCCAATGATGGGATTCGCTTAGTTAGACATTGTTTAGTTAGGGGCAATAAAGCCGATCTTTTGATCTGTAAAAAAGCCGGAGAATGCTGTGCGATTTGCATGCAAATTTGGCCATAAAAAAATAGCCAAGTCCAGACGATTTATGCGAAGCATAAAGCCAGGCTAATGAGGCAACAAAGTGTCCTCGTCTTCGTCCACGTCCTGACGAAATGCCATGCCCCAGAATTGGCAATGGCAACCGCATCGCAGCCATAAATTAAGTGTTAAGTGTTGAGCTACCAGTAAATAATGTGAATAAATAAAGAATCTTGCCAGCATTACAGCAAAATCCTTTCAGCCTTTTTATTTTCGCACAATGCACGCCAGGAACATTCACCTTCATCTGCATTCCAGGCAGAGACGAGGAATTGAGAGGGGAAATTGAGAAAGGGAATATAGAAAAAAGGAGACACCGGCTCCTGGTTTTCAGATTTCCCGGAAAGAGTACATTTTCCAGTCTTAGCTCTTTGCTTTTGTGACTTTATTCCTGGCGATTGGCAGGCATTATGTTGCTTGTTGCACTAACAGAAAATTGTGCTGAAAAGGATGAAATGTTTTAGGAAAAAAGTATAGAAAATATATATACTAATCAATTCTAGATGAAAATTTGAGCTATTAATTTGTATTCAAAGAGTCATCATATGTTAGCATTCCAAGATAATTAATATATATATTTCTTATACCTATACTTTTATTAATTTCCTTCTTTTTTTCAAAGTGTAAATCACTATTCTGTTACTGCATTTGCACCTGCCATCCTGGCCATTTCAGTCTGCACCTGGCCAAGTGCCGGAGGTCCATTAGTCAAGGCGGCTTTACAGTAAAGGAAGTTCGTATTGAAACGAATGTGCCAGGAGTTGCAAGAATGGGCTTATCCTGTGGCGAATTGGCACGTGGAGTGAATAGGAAGCAAAACGGGATTAGTATAGGAAAATAAATCAACTCAAAACTGGGACAAACTTCACGAGTTATGGCTGCTGCTGCCGCCTCGTCTCACTTAATGGCCAAACGGAATTATTAATGGCTATTTGAGAGCAGGGAATATAAATTCAAGTGGCAGGCGAGTCACGGGAGTCAAATCTCGAAAAATTCAGGGCTAAATTGTCGCCTCTTCACCTGACATTATCGTAGGTTTGTATTTGTGTGAGGGAGGGAGATTAAGATTGGTGGTGGCTAGGGGCTCATATATCAAATGCATATTTACCCATTGAACGGCCCATGTAATTCCATACCTCCTGTTGCCGGGAATCGCCAACAAAAGAGAGAGTGAAAGTTGCCCTTGGTTGTGCCCTCCTCCTGGATGGAGCATTCATCATCGCCTTCGATGCAGATTCTTTTGTGAGTGGAGCTCGGGGCTCGGGGATACTGGAGGAGCGGATGGCCGCCATCAATAAATTGTGCGGCCTGCCGCCTAGTCAATCATAATCTGACACAATAAAGATATTAATCAGAGCCATAAATTTACTTACGGTCTAGACAACCAGTTTAACGGCCAACTCAGCTAGCACAAAGCTCCCTCCCTGACGGAGATGAAGATGGAAGATGGCAGCTAGAGGGTTCTCCGGATTTTTCACCCATACCGAAACTTGAACTTTAATAGGTCCCTGTGTCCAGTATTCAAACCTTCGCATATTGTCCCGGTCATTACGCACAGACATTTCAGATTACTCTTCCACTTTATGAGCGACAAACTTTCACTTTTCAAAAGCGGGGAATTCATTTTTTTTGTTTGGCACAGAAACAACAAAATAACTGGGACGCATAGTGGTCATATCCATATCCATGTCCATGTCCATGTGGAAACTTTAAAGCCCTCCTCACATGCAAGCCGCCTGGTCATTCTCTGCGGGTCCTTGTCTGCATCTAACGAGCCAGCAAAGAGCCGGACAAAAGCCGAGCCAGCTTTTGCTTTGAACCCATCACCGAGTTCAAACCAGGATCAGAAACATGCAGGCACTGAAAAGAATAAGATTTATTTATAAATAAAATAATAGAGTTGCTAAAATAAATGATTAGGATTAGGATTAACAAGTAATACGAAAAAAAACTCTTGCTGTAGTTTAATAAATTCTTTAAGTTAAGTTAAGTTTATGTACAAGTTCTATAGTTTATCTACCAGTGCATCCCCATCTTCTACATTGTTTAAAACTTTTGCCTCTGTAGTTATGTATTCTAGCAAAATTGGACTAAACAAAATAGCTTCAATTAAAAATTTACAGAAATATGTGGTCGAGAGAGAACAACTATGGAATAACAGAGCACAACTGGGAGCATCCTTGTTTCTGGGGACTCCAATTAAAGTTGTGTAAACATACGGTCCAAAGGACACTCTTCATGGGCGACTTATGTGTTTATTTATTGTGCGATGGCCCCACAATCCGGGGCGGGATGTTTCGATGAACCCAATTGATTCTTTTGTTGCCATTGTGTGTTCTGAGGTCAACTGAAGAGCTGAGCTCTGACTCTTACTTTTGCCGAATAAATATTATTTTTGTTGGTAACTTTTGATGTGTGTGTGCACAGCGGCTCAGTTGGATTTTTGTGGTTCATAACCGATTTCCACTTTAAAGGCCGAAAAATTTTAATTAAATATTAATTGTGGCAAGGCATTTGTTGTCCTTGCCACTATTATACAGCAGCTGTCCCTGGCCGCAGAACAATGGTCTAATTTAAAATGGCAAAATGTACAAGACAGCGGGGGGGAGGCAGTTTAAAATCCAAGCAGCATCCAACAGCTGGCACTGGCAGTTTTGACAACGAAATTTGAGGACCCGACCTCCGGTCACAGTTCAACAAACTAAAAGTGTTTGCTTTATGGCCTCGATGTACTCGAAGTACTTGCAGCGCCATCCTTTTCTCGTGTTTGTTTGTTTGTTTCTTCTTGTTTTTTTTTCTTGGAGTCCAACAAAACAAGAGTCGAAATCCCCGAAAGCAGACAACTCGAGATTAGCTGCGCCACAAGTCGAGAGCCAAAAATAACTCGGAATATTCCGCTCAATTGCAGTAGCCAAAACAATAAACCGCGCAGCCTTGACCATGGACATGGCACGTTGGGCATGAACCCATCCAAGTCCCGCCTCCGGATCTACTGCTGTGGATTCAACAGCTTTCCCAAGAGTGGTCTGCACTTGGAAAAAGTGATAAATACTTGGCATTATAAACTAAGTATGATTTACCCAACTGTTCAATCAAATTAACAAACATAACAAGAACTATTTTTATAAGCAGGAAAATATTCTTTGCTTTAAAAAGAAACCTTTAAAAACTTTCTCCCATAAATTTCATAAATAAATTTATGCATTTCTTTGAGTGCCCTATATTTATGTTTGCCTTCACCAGTGGGTTCCTCAACGAATTCCCGGGGTAATTGTCCTTAAAGCGGCACTTAGGGCTACAGGATTCACTTGAAAGTTCACCAGAATCAGAATCAGACTTTAATCGCCATGCCAGCAGATGTGTATGTCCTCTTGGTATCTTGTTTGCATACCGAAACGTGTCTGCGATAATTTGTTTGGGATTTAACGCCATCAGTGTTCCTCAGAGGCTCCAGGCTCCTAGCTGCTCCTGCAAATGCTTGACGTCAGTGGAGCTGAAACTACCATGGAATCGAGCTGGTCAATTGAAATAAAGCCAATTTACATAGATCCCATTAATTGGGTCCACTCGTGCAGGGGAACGCCAGCTTAATGGAAAACTTTCAACAGTTTCAACTGCTTCGATGCTCTCAATTCCTTGATAGAGTAAAGTTTATTAATTAGTATTGGCTCGGAGTCGTGATACTGAGTCCTTGGACGGTGAGTTGGGAAAATATTTTGTAGTTGAGCATTGTTTCTATTAACTTTCCACTGGCACTTTATTGTCATTAACAACTGCATTTTCCATGGAACTGTCAGCTTTTCAATTTACCCATTATTTAAATGCATGTAATTTTCACTTAAATTTAGATAAAGAATTAAACTCGAATTACACTTAATTCATTTTATTGCAATTGTGTGTCTTATTAATTGATTCATTCAATTTATTATTTCAATTATTTCCGTCGACCAATAATTATCCTGTCAGTTGTGTTTCAAATAAATTCACATTCTACAGAGTTCCAAAAACATGAAGAGTTTCAAATTAGCGAATGAAAATAAAAATATAACTATTAATCGATAGCTAAACAATATATACATAAATCAACTTGAAATTCACCGGAATACATCTTGCAATTATACTGCTGACATTTGGTCTTCATTAAATAAATAACAATATTGAAGATAAAATAATTAAATGAAAGCCAAATATTAATTTAAGTTTCTTTCCGAGCGAGAAATTTTAAAGTGCACTTTGTCAAAGCGAAAATAATCACATTGAAAAGTTAAACAGTTTTAGTTGCATATGAATTGGCACAAAATAAGTATTAATTACATTTCATTATAAGTTTAAATGCAAGTAGACAATAAAGAACATTTTTTGCTTTCCTCTGTAGTCAATATAAATTGTTTTCTGAAAATAAACAAAGCCATATGTACATACAGTTGAAAATTATAAAAAAAGCATATTGTTATTTAATAAGAAAATGAGATTAAATTTCAAAAGACTCATTCATATAAATATTTGTAAAAGCAATAAGATAAATTCATTAGTAAACAAAGGGTTTAATTTTATTCTTGGAAACTAGACCCACAACCTCAATGTTTAAAACAAATCGGCTCACTTTACTTTAATTGCCATTTAAGGAATTTTAATACAGTAAAATTGTTGAAATAAATAATAAATGAATACAAATTCTCAGAAATAAGCGGAACACGCAATTAAAGCACGGAATTCCCATGAACTCCAGAAGGCTGCTGCAAAAAAATGTTGAAGCAGAGGCATTTCCTTTTCCACCGAAACACAATAGTCGTACCATTAAATAAAAGAATTAAATGGCCTTAAAACTTGCCAACATCAGTTTTAGAATACTTTAACTGCTGCCGGGCAAAACATGCTTTTTTTTATAAATGTTATGGCATTTCTTTTAAATAATTTGTGTGTCACAACATCCGACCAATCTGAACATTTTTACTAACACGATATGAGAAGGAAATATGCAAAAGTTTGTTCATGACCGCACACAAATTTGCAAGCTGTAAAAAAGTGTACAACAATTTTCCAATTAAAACATGGCTTACCTTTCCATAATTTAAAAATGTATTGGGTTGGTATGTAAGCGGAAGTTTGTTAATTAAAAAATATATACTTTACAAAAAAAAAAAGGTTTATTTTGATGAGCCCCTTTAATAGGTTCTAAATTGTTTATATTAAAGCTCTTTAAAAATCTCTGTGAAAAATTTCAACATAAAATCTATAATAAAATCTCAAAAATCATTTACTGACAATATTTAGATTCATGAATGTTTGCTATTCAAGTGTTGAATGTTTTTACAAGTACGAACTCTTCGATCCCTTTCGATGCTGATAATTTCAAGTCACGTCGCATCGAAAACCGAGTATGAATAAATTGCCTTTCCAATAATAAGAAATTTTCTTATAATGTTTCCATTTCAACCACAACTCGGTTTTCGAATGCTTAAAATTCCACCAACTGCCGGCGAAATGAATTCAATTACGTGAATATTCTGGCAAATGTGAATTAAATGGCAAATGGCAAACGGCCAATCCAACTATTTCGGAAGCAACTGAAAAAAAAAATAAAGTGGAAGAGCCATGTCTGCCTTTCGTGAGACATGTTGCCAACATCCGTTGGCCAACAAATCACACAAAGGAAAGAAATCGAGCGATGTAAGTACAAAGAGGGTGGCGGCACATGTCCATCGCTCCAAGGGGGTTCCCTTTGGGTGGAGAAATTCGGGGGAAATTGGCGGAGCGTCTGGCACGTACCTTACGGTCTGCTGAAGCAACACGCGTACACAAGGCACTCGTTACAGGGGAACCTGGCTCCTGGCTGAGGATTTCAGGACTAAACACGGATTCGGTTTCGGGCCCCCAGCTGCTTGATGTTGATGCCAATGTCTGTGGCTTTAACCGACATTAAATTGCTGATTCCCGGCCAGTCGCACTCCACATGTGGCCAGCTACACATTTGCATTGAGTCTAATTGAAATGGTTTACTGACACATTGATGCCATTTGGTTCTCATCGGTTAACCCACTGAAGCTTCCGCCTGACAGCTAAGAATTAATTGTTTGTTTTAACTATATGGCGATATATATTTAATGTACAATTAAATTTTATTGTACAAGAAATATTTTTGCTGAAGATATGGCCATGTTTACTTCGGCCTACATGTTGTCAATTAGCGAAGTTTGCTTTATTGTGGTTTTGGATTTCCTAATTGACGTCGTGTACAGGCTGGTTGTAATTTAATAATGATTCCTATTAATTAGGCAACACATAAATATGACTGAAATATATTAATAGCAACGGATTAAGTTATGTTATCGAATAAAGGATATTAAAGACATTTTATTTTTAGAAAATAAATTAATTGTGGCTATTAGTCATATACCTAACAATTTTACTGGGTAATTCTAGCTTATAGATTTGTGTTATCATGGAAATTAATATATAGAAATTAATTAAATTCATTTTTTATTTTATTCCATTTCAAAACACATTTCCTCCTTTGTCTTAAGAGGGTTAAATACAGTTTTAATCACAGAGATTCGCTTTTATTCAAACTGAGATTTGGCAATTGTCCTTAAACGACATTGACAACAGATTCTAAAATGCAGACTAAGGAGCGGCAGCTCATTTGTTATGTTGATGGGAAAATC